TTGACGAATGATGATGTCCGAGTCAAAATTCTCATAGGGAATTTGCTCGTTGTATGAGGAGTCATAGCCCTTCCACTTTACAGTATACATCATTCCTTTTCCCGTGAGTTCGTGGTCAACGATAGACTCTATTTCATACGACTCTTCACTGGGAGCATCAAGAGCTTGAGTGACCATTTTGAGCTGGCTCGGAGCATAATTACGAGCCAATTTCTGGTTGGTAGCGTCTAGCAGAGTGTAGGCACCATTTTCGGTACGAGCCACTACTTGTATGGGCCTTGGTATTTAGGTGCTAATTTACCATTGGGCAATTCTTCTTTCGCCATGACAAACGCTCCAGGTGGGAACTGAAGGATTTTGTGTGTCCTGTTGAATTTCTCCACCATTCTTTTTTGCGTGTCAGAACTCTTATCATCGATAGCAGGGAAAACTAACGCGGTGAGATATTCCAATCTGTTCTGTAATTCTTCTTCAGACAGGAGATGTGACTCGGCTGAGGAAAAATCCGTTAGTCCTGCAAATGAGCGTCCATAGAATAATGAGAATGGCGTTGAATGATGTAGACTCGCGACTCTAGTATTCATTTGGAGCTGAACCATTGGAAGATGGATGTCCCAATCATTCTGTATGCCTTCGAGTTGTTTTCTGAGGATGTCCTTAAATGTGCGGACAAACCTCTCCGCTACACCATTCGAGCGTGGATGATATGGCGTGGAGAGTCTATGCTCTATTTGCAACTTTTGCGTTATGAGACGTGACACTCCATTGACGAATTCAGTGCCATTATCAGTTTGGATAATTTTAGGGAATCCAATAGAGCAGAATAGCTTGAAGAGGGTGCTGGCCACCGTAATGGCTTCCTTATCAGGCAGAGGCTCCAGGAATACAAATCTTGTGCAGATGTCAACCACTACTAAAGCGTAGTTATTACCCCTGGAACTGGTTTCAAATGAGGCTAAATCGAATGCTATGTGTTCCCCTGGGAGTCTGGCATGTATGGCAGTTAAAGGATGATACCCCTTTCTAGCTATGTTGAATCTTTGGCATGGTCCGCATTGGCTAACCCATTTGAGACAATCATCTCTCAATTTAGGCCAAGTAAAGCCTTTAGCATGGATAGCAGTAACCATGGCATTTCCTCCAGGATGACCGAATTCGTGTGCTAGGCGAAGATGCTGAAGCTTTTCTTCAGGATCTTGGATGATTTTTCTAGAAGCATCCTCCAACTGAAGTTGATGAGAGTAAGGAGCAGTTATATCAATAACCTGTAGAGTGGAAGGCAGCTGCTGCGAATTAGATGACTGTGGAGCTGCCTGAACATTCTCGGTAGTCTCTGTTCCTCGCCTCATAGAAGCAATCTGCCGACTCGTAGAACATTTAACTTGTTCTTCTTTAGGAGACTTCCACAATTCCTCAGGAAATGCGCGAGATAATGCGTCTGGAATAATGTTCAGCAGGCCTGGACGATAAATACATTCAAAATCATAGTTGAGCAGAGTGGCCTTCCAATTCAGGATTATTTGTGGCAACTCCTTCTGTTCATGAATGTACGTCAGAGGTCTGTGATCAGTATATAATGTAAATCTTCTTCCCCAAAGGTAATGGTGAAATTTCATTAGTGCAAAAATAATTGCTAAGAGTTCCTTCTTGTAAGCTGGGTAATTTTTCTCATGCTTATGCAATGCTCTGGCTTGAAAGGATATGTAGTTGACCTTGGTTTCATCTTCCTTGCCACCTGGTAGCTGATATAGGACAGCTCCTATGCCTACGTTAGAGGCATCTGTGGCTACAAAGAATTGCTGAGTAAAATCAGGGAACGATAAGGCTGGAGCTTGGGCTATAAGCGATCTGATGCTGTTAAAGCTTCGCATTTGCTCCTTATTAAGATCAAAAGTGCCTTTGGCATTGCGCAGGGCATCTAGAGGTGCTGTGAGCGAGCTGTACAAGGGTATATACTCCCTAAAATAATTGAAGAGGCCTAAATAGCGTTGAACCATCTTCTTATTGGTAGGTGGTGTCCATGAATGCACATTAGCAACCTTGTTGATATCTATTTTGCGTCCTTCTTTGTTGATTATGAACCCCAGTAGTAGCACTTCTGTACTAAGGAATTTACTCTTTTCTCTATTGATTATCAACTTTGCAGCTGTAAGCCTTTCTATGACAATGCTGACATGAAGAATATGATCCTCTGCTGTGTGCGAATAGACAATAATGTCATCCACATAATTGTCAGCAAAGTGCAGATCATCTAAGAGTTGTGACATTCCTCTTTGGAAGATACTCGTGAGGGGTTTTAAACCAACAGGTGCTCTAGCAAACATATATTGCTTACCACCGTACGTAAATGCAGTTAGTGGTTGGCTTGATTTCTCTACAGGCATGCGATGATACGCCTGAGACAGATCAATTGTGGTGAAATACAGATGCCCTGCTACCCTCTGCTGGATATCAGTGATTAATGGTAGAGGGAAGACATCAGTATCCTCTAGTTGACGATTCAACGTTCTTGGATCAAGGCATACTCTATATTTCAGAATATTACCATCCAGGTCACGGCGTGCTGCCATTGTCAGGGAGTTATTATACGGACACCCCTTAGGTGCTGGAACGATAACACCCGTTTCTTGCCACTTCTGGATGGTCTTTTCCACTTCTTCTTTTTCAATTTGCGAATGGAATGGGCGAGATCTTTCCTGGATGATACAGGTGGGTTTAACCTTTAGCTGGACCTTCATTGTATCAAGATTGCAAAATGAATTTGGCGAGATGGCTTCATTCGCCTGTAAATAAGGCTCCAGTGCTAACAGGAACTTTTCTTTCAATGCTTTGAACTCAGCATTGTTTTCTCTTTCTGGAGTTTGTGACGGAATGACTTGAGGTTTTTCATCATATGGGACCCATAGGGATTCCTCCTCTCGTATCTCCGGCATGGCTATTCCCGTGATGGAAAAGCCGAGTCTAGCGAAGAGATCCATTCCCAACACGAAGTCATAATACTCAATGTCCATGACCGACAATTGATATTCTCCAGATCTATTGTTGCAGACCAATTGGACTTTATCACAAGTAATGACATTATCCGTGCTAGTCCCTTTTTCTATCATTGCTATAGATTCTCCTGGTACTCGACCATAGCGAATACCTTGCTCTATGGCTACTTCCTTACTGAGCAAAGAAGTTGTGGCGCCTGGATCTAACAATGCTGTATATTGTTGCCCGTTTATAAATATAGGCACAGCTATTCTATTATCACCAGGAGCGGGACCTTTGAAAGCCCCTAGGTGCTTGATACAAGCTTTCTCAACAATTGAGTACGAGGAAAAGAAGGATTCTTTATTCGGAATTATGTCTCTTATGAGCGCACTATCACTAATCCTCTTAAAAGCACTGACTGAGGCAAGCGGCTTGCGCACATCAGTTCTCTTGACGTCCTTGGGCTTATCCTTAGAATGATCTCTGACTTGATCCTTAGCATAGCGACAGTCCTCCGGGGCATGTTTGTACGGATTCGACCTACACTTCTCCGTTCCCTTACACCAGACCTTGAATGGTTTAGCCTTCTTGGCTTCTCTATCACTTGACGGATTGGCATTAGGTCGAGATCTTTTATGACTAGATCTCGGAACCTCTCTAGGAGTGTATTCCGATCTGGACTTGATGGATCGCAAATACTGTTCTCCAGCGTCTCCTCCATACTTCTGGATAAACCAATGGGCGTCATCGGTTCGTTTCTCACCTAAGGCACCTGGTGTCTTTTCTAGGGACTCTAGAAACTCCTTCAAAGAGCTAACACTTTTCACTGAGCCGAATTCCTTGATGACAGCCTGAAATCCTACGTCGGACAGATGATTGCATAAAGCTTTGATGAGCATATAGCAGCCATCATCTGGGATTCCAGCTGCCTCAACCAGAGGTAGCAATCGTTGCGCGAACGACCTAATAGTGTCATTCTTCTCAGGCCTCATAACTAGCGCCATATCAGCGATGTAAGCCCCTAGAATGTCAAACTTTAGAGCTTTATTCAAGCATGTAACTGCCCGAGACCAGGTCCTGTCTTGAAGAGGCACTTTCTTGATGAGATCGTCATAGTCTCGCGCCAGGCCGGACACTTTGGAAACGCAGAGGGATAAGTAATCCCATGCTAGTTTGTCGAAAAGAACATCAGAAAGGTTACGACGGAATATCCTCTCAAAGTCATCACGGAAAGTGACAACCCTGATTGCTATTTCCTTGACCATATTCTTGCCGGGAACCTTGGACACGTCTAAATCAAGCATAGGCGCATCCGCAAACGTTTTCTTCTTGACCTTGGTATAGTCTACCTCTTCTGAATCTTCCATCAAAGGAATGTTCTCTTCTTTGGAGATTCGATGAAGTGCGTCATGTTCGGGATTAGCAGGATCCCATTTCACCGTTATACGGTGACTATCTGCTTCAGACACACTCGATCTATCAATCGAAATGTCCTCGCTTGAAGATAAGCCATTTCTGACCTCCTCCATATGTTCAATAGAACTATTCAAGTCTTCAGTTTGTCTTACTAAGACCTTCAAGATGTCTGCCTTCTGTTGAGCGAGATCGCCTAAGGCCTTGGTAAGTGTCTTTTCATCAATGTCAATTTTTCTTAACTTTGATTTGGCATCATTGTACCTAAGGAACAGCAATGCCTTCTTTCTGAGTGTCTCCTCCTTCTGAAGTCTATAACTTCGAAGAAGCATCGTAACATTCTCGATATCGGGAACAGCATCACTGCCGAACTCGACTACACTCTCCGTCGTATCTACGACCAGGCTAGCCACCAATAAGTTCAACTGCTCGACAGGTGTCAAGCCTGAGCCATTCTCTGGTGAAGAGATTTCCATATCAACATCTTCGTTAATTGGTACTTTATTAATATTAGACATGATTGAAATAAAGGGATTGAAATTATGGAAAAAAAAATGGTTGGATGGATTGATAAAATGGATGGATGTAACTCTATGTAGATCCTTGAAAAAATGAAATGTTTTATGGTAAATCGGAAGTCAAGGAGATCAAAAGTTGTTTATTATTTTAGCTAGGTCGGAGCCTTATATAGGCTCCAACATAGCCGTCACTAATTGCTCTGATCTATGAATAAAAAGGGGAGTGCTCCATTTGGGTACACTCCCTAGCCTCAGGACGTAACAGGTGTAGACCCACCACGGACAAAAGAGCCAACTTTTACTGCGGCAGAGGAGGACTACATTTGGGGGACTCTGGAGATGCATATCAATGGTGTTCGAGAAGTACGACGCCATGGTGATAGGAACGGCGATGATGAGGATGAGGAAGAGATAGAGCACACACCAGATTGGTCTGTGCAGGACATTTACCATGGACTTACGCCCAAGTCCATTGCTCAGAGTTGGAAAGTTGGCTTCAAGACAACAACAAGGATAGCTACATATATGGCAAGGCGCTTCGTCAAGGCCATAGAAGAATTCGGTCGTAAAGAAATCTGGAACAAACGGTGTAAAGTCACCGTTGAATGGGAAAAGGCTCATGGAATCACTGCTATGAGCAAACGCGCTAGAGGACGCAACTGTGTTGGGGAGCACAGACGTAGTAGCAATGTCCCTTCCCTCAGACAAAGACAGAAACTGAATGTGAAAGAGATTTACAAGATCGCGGATAACCGAGTCCAGGACAGTTACCTTGGGAAAACCAAACTGGACGTGATGGAGCGGCTAGGTGGAATGAAGTTTTTGATGACGATGGATAGCGGATAATTTGTCGCGTTGCGCAACAGGCCACGTCGGAAAGGTGGACTTTGAGTACCAACCACGGCGGTCAAGGTTTATGAAATCATGGATACAGCGGCTCTTGTCGTTTGTGCAGTAATAACTGTTTATTGACTATAGTTTCTGGAGCATTTTGTTCATAGAGTGTAGAAAATAAATCCCATGACCCTGAGAGTCCTTGTTATCAAAAAATAAAATAAACTGAGGGCGCTTGTAAAAAAACTCTTCTCCGATCCATCAACCTGGAGTGTGCAGAACAGGACCAGCCGTTACATCACAGATTGGAAAGAGATTGGAAGGCGACTCTGCACATTATCCACGACGGTAACACCCCAAGAGGGCTATTCACCAGTCCAACTGACTGCCAACGACGAGCTTACAGGATCAAGAAGTTACATGGTATGCTCCCAACGCTTGCTTACATGAAGCAGCAGAGACCAGATCTCTATGACACAGACATCTGCAGAATGTGTGAATTGGAAAGAGAGGACACAGAGCACCTTTGGAAGTGCCCTATCACAGACGACAAACAGTTGGAAGGGTGGACAAGAGCGATTGAGAATATCAATTGCGACGGACAAAGGGGCCTAGCGAAGGAGAGGAAACTTTGGGAGGACAAGTTGCGTCGGGCACAGGCACCAGGACAGAAACAGGTTGGCAAGGGACCTACGTTCATGCCAGCAAACGAAGAGGTGATATGAGCGTCATTAGAAGCCATGTACAGAGGAGCTGCTGCTATTCCACAGGCGGGCGAATTGTGTTACGACGACGGAGAGGATGAAGATGGCGACGGCGAGAGAGCCATCAGGACAGTCCAAGACCTTTACCATGGATTGGTACCGAAAGACATGGTCAAGAATTGGAAAGATACTTTCAAGACAACCGCATCCATTGCAAAATATGTGGTTTGCAGATTCATCAAAGCTATCGAGGAAATCGGAAGGACCGAGATCTGGAACAGACGGTATAAAGTCACCGTCGACTGGGAAAGAACTGAAGGCATCACCTCTGTGAACAAACGCGCCAGGGGACGCACCTGTGTTGGGCAGCACAGACGTAGCAGAGGTGATTTCTTAGGGCCTACCCTGAGACAACGACGAACAGCTGACGTGAAAGCGATTAGGACGGAAGTTGACCAAAGAGTAGCAGGGAGCTATCGGCAACAATTAGAACTGACAGTAATGGAGCGGCTGGGAGGGTGTCGCTTTTTGATGATTGAGGACTGCGGCTAGAAGATGACTTTCGCGCACAACCGGTCAAGTAGGGAGCAGGGTTCGTCATAGGTTCCGTAGGGATCAAGAGTTACCACTCATGCTGACGTGGTTTGTGGATAGGATGTTGTACAGTGACAGTTCAACGATGCGGTTAAGACCGATTATTGAAAAACGCTTTATTTGCGCCCCTAGTAATAGGGCAACCCATTTATAGTCTATTTCAAATAAATCCTCACGATCTCGTGGGTCCCAGTTATCAAAAAAAAAAAAAAAAAAAAAAAAAAAACATCTAAAGTGTTTAAAGAAAACCCACCGGTAGATGGTGGCAACACGCCTAGAAGCCTCTTTACCGCTCAGTAGATTGTTTCTTAATAAAACCGCTATCAAAAAAAAATAAAAACCATTGGTGAATGGGAACATCAAGTTCACTCTCGGCTGAGCTAAATAGCTCTCTTACTTTTATTGCACTGTCCCATCATACAGAGTGATATGTTGCTACAAAAAAAAAAGACATTTCATTGCCATTGTTGGTGTACTCCAATGGATTTTGTCTTTTTCTGACACGATACTAAAAAAAGCATCTATGGATATTCTAGAAACAATGTTTGTTGGACTTTTGGGGAGGGCAAGTGGTTTTCTTGTGGCACCATGGCTGTGTAAATATGCATGCTCTCCTTTTACGCACTATTTTGACTATTTTGGCTCCATCTTTTTTTTTTTTTTTTTTTTTTTCCTCATTCTCTCTCTCTTTCCATTTCGTAGAAACCCTTACCTATCTGGAGGCCCAGACCTCTCTCTGCTCTTCCTTTCCCCCTCTCCTTGCATCGCTTTCCTCTTCCTCTTTTTATTTACTGACTTGACTACTTTAGTCATTTCCATTGCAGTGGTTTAATAGTCATTGCACATCTACATACTTTTTTTATTTATTTTATTTTCCCTTTCATGGACAAGCACCTTTCAAAGCATTCCAACCCAAACTACCAGCCTGTTCCTACTCTCTCTTCTGGCCCTTTTAACGGCGAAAACGCACTCCTTCAACATACAAAGTCATCATCTATTGAAGGATTGTCTTCTATGTCGCACTATACCCCAGTCCATGATACCAGCAATCACCATAGTGGCCAGTATTCATCCATAGAACAATACCCAAATGAACCCACTTATACCCATCAACGGCAATACCTGAACAACAGTAACAACAACGGTAGTGGCAATGGCAATAATGTTATTATTGATAATCTTGATATAACTCCCCCACAAGGACGTAATCAGTATAGGCCTGAAGAAGATGGTGATCCAACGACGTTACCGGTCCTTGTTGATGAGGAGGCACCACGCGATATTTCTAATTCTTCGTCCCACCTAAATAATCGCTACCCCTGTGTGGACGATTTCAATGACCCCTCATTATCATCATCGTCATCATTATACCTAACACCTCCAGGAAAGGCCCTTACACTCCAATTATTAACGACACTCTCAACAATCATATTTACAGTCTTACCAGTAGTCGTAAAATCAGGGAAAGCTACCCAGTGGGGTCAATTCTATTCATGGAAGGATGCCTGTCGGTTGATTGAACCCTTTGTCAGTGGGTTATTCCATACCTGGTTCTTTTATAATTCTGATCTTATGAGGACAACAAGGGGCTATCATCAATCTATGTCTCTGTCCTGGCAGCAGCAACATTGTGTTTCGAATAAACAGCATGACATTCCGATGACGACCCGAAGACGATTCTCTGCTAATTCAGCTGCGGTTGCGGCTGAGAATCACCATGCAAGGGCTAATGCCAACAACAATGGTAATGGCAATGGCAACAGTAACAGTAACATTGGTTCATTTGCACAATCGCAACTTGAGCCTGGAATCGCAGCCAACAGCAACAGCAACAACAAGAGATCATTTAAAAATTCTTCAAAGTTCAAAACAACTCTTTCATTAATTTTCACGTTCTTTTTGATCCTCTACGCGACTGGAGGGGCGATCCATACAGCAGCAGCGCTTTTCAAAAACGTCGTTGCCTTCTTTTTACAGGAACATTCTCGAGGGATTGGTTTGTCGACCCATCCGTTGACTCAAGGAGATGGCCAACTATCGATGGAATTGGCACAGAAGCTCAAAGACGGTTACCTGTTGATGCAGGATGTATGGGAACATAAAGCGTCTCATTACATGTATGCTATAGGAGCTTTGGGGATGTCGTGGTGTGAGATGATTGCTTATTCCGAACAGGTTTTGCCCAGAGGCGTCAATTTGGCACGTGTTGGACATTTGACGAAGAGAAACCAGGGTCCTAATGTGTCAGTCAAGAGTAGTAAACGACTTGTGTTCCTCTGGATCTTGGCAGGTGTGCTTTACGGAGGCATTGTTGCGGGTAAGGAAAAGGAAAAAAATAAAAAAGTCTTGTTTTCTTTTGATTTCTCGCAAACAATGATCTAACATATATATATATTTTTTAAAAAAAAGGTGTTGCATGTCAATATCCAAAAGGTCTTTATGTGGGTATTGTTTATGTTATTCTTTTGCTCCTGGTGGTCTGTGGGTATATCCTGACGAGGCCTACACGTGGATTGTTCTCGTTGGGGCGCCATTATATCCTACAAACCTATGTCATTGGAGGCGTTGTCGCGGCCGTGGTGATCATTATCTACATGGCTGTCAATGACTTTGATATGCTCACCAGCAATGACAGATCATATCTTGGATCTATTACTCGGCCTTAATTTTTTTCTTTTTCCATGTTGAAACGAAATATCACTTCAGAGCCAAGCTCGTGAAGAAAGTTGAGAGGGGGAGTCTTCAAGATCTCAAGACCTTCAGGTCAAAGTCCATCATTTTGTCACCATTTCAAATATATTAAAGTACTAGAGCTTTTTAGGTCTGTTATTCGCCTATACCTTTTTTTTTTTTTTTTTTTTTTTTTTTTTTCTTAGACGTGTTCAATAGAGAATATATTTAGAGACGAAAAAAAAAAAAAAAAAAAAAAAAAACGCTCCTTTACATAGTCTTTATTCGTTTTTTCTTTTGTATTTGCTGTCAATCCAATACATGTTCTACTCTTAGAATGTGGTTCCTTCTGCAGGTTGAGGGAGCTTCCTATTGTTGGGTGAGGCCATCTCACTGTAAAAAAAAAAAATTTAGATTGATGAATACTGTGTCCAAATTATTATAAACATGGGCGCTTGAGTGTGTATAAAAAATATAATTAAAAAAAAAGAATGGATAACCTACCGACGCAGATCAGTCAAGATGGTTTCCAAGCCAAAAGTTCTCCTCCAGTTGCTTAAGCAAGTGAGTTTTGAGGGATCCACCTAAATAAGGATTTTTTTTTTTTTTAAAAAAAAAAAAAAAAAAAAAAATAGTTGGAGCAAAAGAACCCATTGATTAATGACTGCAAGAGGGTGGGATATAACGTTTTTTGAACTGATAGATCCGTAGCATCCAATCCTCGGTCCTATAATAGTTGCATGTAAACCGAGTTCCGAGTTCCCCTTCACTTACACGTCCTGTCGACTGATTGACACAAGGAAGATTAATGCGAGACACGAATGATACTGTGGGAGGCACATCAGGATATTGGTCGCCACAATGAAGCTTGAGACTGTAAATCCTGTTCTCATGGACGGTCTAAGTTTGAAATACAAGGAAAGAATCGGGAACACATAAAAGATCAGATAAAAAAAGAGATATCCAGCACATCATTCCTTGATTATCCACAGAGTCCGTCTTCTCGCATAATTGTAATTCCCTCTCCTTGGTTCTTCCATGATAAAAAAAGAAAAAAAAAAAAAAAAAAAAAGGATAAAGATACGCCTCCTCTTTAATCATATCATATTTTTGGTACATCCGATTGTTCATTTATATAAAATAAAAGAAAGAAAGAAAAAAAATAGTAATAAAGGGTGCTACTTCTCATAGGGCACACACAGAGGCATACTACGAAAAGATAAAATAAAACGTACATGTCCAGGTCCAAGAATAGTTCCGTTCCAGTCTGACATAGTCATATCATCGCCATCTGAGAGTCCATAGCTGCAAGTGCCATCGCCAATGCCCTTTTCGCCCTTTTCGAGCTCGTCCATCAGCTTGAAGTTGCGGGGAACTATTGCAATATACATTGTCAAGAGTAGTAAAGAAAAAAACCAAAAAAAAAAAAAAAAAAAAAAATAGAATTGAATAGAGAGAAAGAGATGTAATCAATTAAAGTCAGTTATGATATCGAACATATAAAATTAAGCTTGAGTAGGATTCATGGTGGTGTGCATTATGTGGACTTTGTCTAATAACCATGCTTTTTGGTGTCTTTCATTCTTTTTCTTTTTCTTTTTTTTTTTTTTTTTTTTTTTTGTCCTTGTTGTGTGAAGAGAATAAAAAGCTGATTGCACAAAGGACTCATTCTGAGATGAAGCGAAGAGATTGAAAGGGGTTTGTTTTTGTTGTGATCATTCTTGTAAACTTGTCGTGGATGGATGGGTGGATGGATGGTAATCAAGTAATTGGTCCGCCAATGAACGCGCTTGGATATGTAAACACATCACCCCCAACTTTTTTTTTTATATCTTGTTTCGAGTGTTGTCCAGAGTAGTCCAGAGTATGCTTTATTGCCCTGAGCATTTGGTGATTTCTTGTTTTGAAAAGCACTTACTTTTCGCCATTGTGTAAATATGTTATGAGGGAGGTATGTGAAAGAGAAGAAAAGAAAAAAAAAAAAAAAGAGAATGAAGTTTTTTAAGGGAGAGAATGACGTGAGTGCGCTCTGTCGCGTGCAGACAATCTGTAAAATGTAAATGTAAAAATGTAATGTACAAGTACATGATTAGAATGTTTGACAGACATATCCCTGACAACAGCACAGACACGGGATATGGACGCAACATAATCCTTGCATTCATTTCCTGTGTATTCTACACCTTTTGCTTCCTTTAAAAAAAAACAAAAAGAGCAACAACAACAACAAAGAAGGGAAATATTGAATGTATGTATTTCTATCTCAAATATGAATCAAAACTTACGCGACTCTATCCTCGTTTTATCTGCATGTACAAGGGCTTATTCTTGTCAGTCACGTTTTTATTTTTTATTTTATTTTTTTTTTACTTCTCGGTTCTTAGACCAAGGACTCTCTCTCTCCTCTGTCTTTGTGCTTCACAAGTATATACCTTTCAATTGAAAAGAAAAAAAAAACTTCAAAAGAGAGAAAATGTATGTATTTGTTAACTGTCGTCTTCACTATCCTCATTCAAGTTGACTCTTCAAAAGAAATCATGCACCCTTACTCTCTCATCTTATCGAGCGGTATATTCTATTCATCACAACCAATTAATCGGTTCAGGCCATATCCAACATCTCCTACACCAAATAAGATTACTTTCTCTAATAAAATTATAGGGTTCTCCCTGGAGGAACCATCCTTCGTCATCTAGATATGTAGTTACTGTACATGTACTGCGTATTCGAATACGTCTGTTTAGATTTATAATATACGACTGTTTGTATGATTACAAATAACATATACTGACATTATGGGAAAGCCTAAAAGCTATGGCTATGTTTAGTCAAGATAGGGACTGAACATTGATATACAATATCTCCTTAACAGGCCAATCTGGTCGATCAATGCCTCGCCCAACATCAGGATTGAAACTGGCTTTGATGACAGTCAAGTTTTTTCTATCTTTATTCCTTTCCGATAAAAGAAAAGCTTCAAACTGAAAGAACTATTGAAAAACAGGAGTTGACTGGATTGAAACATTTCGGGGATTCAAATGCAAAAAAAATTCGGCGTTGGTCAAGCGTTGGGTTGGCGGTGATTAATATCATTGTCCTATTGTCCTATTGTCCTATTGTCCTATTGCAGGAACCATGATATACAATCAACCCAACAAAACAGGAAATAAAAGAAATAATAATAATAATAATAATAATAATAAAAATGATTGCGAAACTTTACTGCCCATGGGAGGGCCATGGCCTGTTCTCAAAGGAGCAAAGAATAAAAAAACCGATTCCTGTGCTTGTAAACACAAATCAATATCCGATAGGATTGTTGTCTGAAGTTATTCAGTCGAGGAGTTTTTATTATTATTTTTTATTAATAGTAATAATATTAACGACATTAGCAAGTGTATTCACCAAAACCCCAACCTTTGGAATGAACAAAGATTGTCATCACATTGATCATTAAAGAGAGAAAAAACTGATTCTGCAATGAATGCATCAGTTTGGTTGTTGTGACAATTGCAACTCTGGTAATAACAGGCCTAATTAGTCGAGCAATAACAAAGACAAAAGAATGTTGTTGTTTTTTTTTTTGCTTCCTGCAGGGTAAGCATGTTTATTACCGGTTAAAAATACAGGTTTCTTTCTATTTTATGAGATGATGATGGTTATTTTTTTTTTCTATTCTTTTTTTTTTTTTTGAAGTTGTGAAGAGTCGGCATCGCATTGTAAAGAAAGTAAAACTGATGATGGAATGATAATTGCTGAGGAATTAAAAAGAACTTCATAATCAAAAACGCTTGATCAAGGTCGTAGTGATTGTTTTTTTTTTCTTTTCTTCCTCATCTCTTTTCCTTTCCTCCATTCTTCTATCCTTCCTGTTTGTTGCGACTGTTTCCTGTCAATTTATGATTGCTGTTATTTTTTTTTACAGACGATCACGGGAGTAGGACTTAGTGAAGCCCTGACCCTCCTTGACAGTCATCAACTTGAGTTGAGTCTGTTGGTCAATGTGCAACCAGGGGTGGGGGTTGTTCTTGCGGTCCCAGGTGACATCGGGACCACGAGCAAGGCGAGTGACGTACCAGCCTAAAATCATAAATAAAATAAAATCAGACGTTAGTGTGTCTTTCTTATTTAGTCAAGCCGAAAATAGATCGGAAAAAATTCTCGTTCCGTAGAATGCCGTTGGGAGGGAGGAGAGGGAAAAACAAAAAATAATTCAGGAACACAACAATGATGTCGTGCAACTTTTGCACAGACAGCGAGGAGACAAAAAAAAAAAAAAAAAGATAGGCAGGGGAAATGTTTGAACAGATCGACCAAGACAATCAAGCAAAGTGGAAAGTGGAAATAGAGCAGAAAGAGGGAAGAGTAAGTGGTAAAAGAGACTTACCGGCACCACCAAGAGCAGCACCAAGGACAGCGTAGATGGGGATGGCCTCGACAACGAACCAGGTCTTGAAGACAGAGGGTGCCTTCTTAGCAGCTTGAGCAGCAGCAGCAGCGGACATGATGATAATGTGTTTGGAGAGTGGAGAAGTGTGAGTGGTGGGGAAGAGAAGAGGATTGAAGAGAGAAAGAAAGAAAAAAAAAAAAAAAAAAAAAAAAGACAAAACTGTCAGCCTTTATTCACCATGTTAATTGCGGAGGTTGAATGAAAAAAGATTATTCTATCCACAGGTAGGATATAACCATTGACATCAACGTCGTCATCACCACAGGAGACCAATGGTCACTCTGTCTGATCTTGAATTCATTTAGGCCAAACAGCACATGCTATTCATTTCAGCTCCAGAAGACTAAAATAGCACGTGTATTTAAAGCATGGACAAATGAGGAAGTTTTCTAGATCGCATACATTATCGGCTCGTCATGGTACATGAATGCATGGGCGACCAAAGACAGCTGTGTGCTTTTATTTTAAAAAAAGAATTAAGGCAAAGCAAGGTGTGTTTAATGAGAATAGAAATGTGTAAACAAAGTATATATAGTATTCAGATGCAACACTAATACTGTATACACTTCTGCATTTACATTTCTGCATTTACACTTCTATAATTAAGACGGCCCCGGTTTCATGGGACTCTCTAATGGTCAACAGCAGAGGAACTAGCAGGCACAGAGCATAGATTTAGAAGGCACAGCATTTGGTTATAGGTTGTGTACAAGTCAAGCTCATGAGACGAGGGGATACTCAAGACACGACAGTGAAATAAAATGAAAAGGATGAGAGGATATGCATGACGACAATATAGTGCAATGCCATGAGATGAGATGTCCGACATTCACTCGAAATCTTAAAGGTTGGCTTGATGCTGCCGTACGCTCTGTAGAGGGCCAATCCACCCTGGAAGTCCCTGGAAATTGCTGCAACTCAATCTTGATAAGCGTCAAGACAACTCGAATGAATGGCCAGATAAAATTGCCAAGTCTTGTCGTTCATTGATCTCAGTGAGGATTCCATCCCAAGATGGAAATTAATAAGAACGGAGCACGAAAGGAAATCTGCACAGACCAATTCAGGAGTCATTTTACTTTTATGTTCTCTTTTTTTTTTTGCACCACCCAGACTGGCCTCGTCTCTTCATATTTTCTTTCTGAATCATACACACAGACATAGCTGACAAAGCATACGATCACTTTGAGTACTTACTCACGTAGTACGGACGATAGTATCTCTTAAACCGTCAGACTCTCCTGGCAAATTTGCCATGATAAATTGCGTGCTAAAGCCATTTAAAAAATTAGTGTAAACTTTAGTTTGGGTGAGGGCAATTCTTTTGTGGGTTTCTTTTTTCGTCCCCCCTTTCTCCCCTCTACAGGTGTCGGTTCACGATCACTATCAACCTCTTCGTCCGCTTCGAAGTCCACTTCTGTATGTTGTGGAAAGCAAAGTACAGATGTAAACTCCCCTTCTTCTCCCTTGAGTGAAAAGTCCACTATCTCGAATGAAGTGAATAAGCTCATGAGCGTAATGATTAGTAATTGATGGCCAATTTAAACGGAATTCAGCTATGAATGGGGTTGATCAATGTAGCAACCAAGGGTGCAACAGCTTGCGTACTTCCTTCTGGGCATAGAGATGGGGGGGGGGTGTAACTTAACACTTTAATGAGAAAAACGCAAAAAACATGAAAAAAAAAATCACTTCCTGGCAAATTTGCCAGGTTGACGGTTTAAGGGATAGAGTACACGAGATGTCATCTGTCCTGAAAAAAAGACTTCCTCTCTTTGTCTTCTTGAACTGTAGATTCATATTACAAAGTAAGCTTATACGATTAGATTAAAACATTATTGCACTTTTAAATCCACCAGCATCTCCTTTTTTTTTTTTTTTTTTTTTTTTTTTTTTTTTGAATCCACCAAGCCTGATTAGCGGCAAGAGAGGCAAGATTACGGGATAGTGTAGACAATGGTTGTTGCTTCAACCATCCTTGAGTCATAGGAGCCTAGCTGGGACCAAGCCTGTGAGGGATGTAGAGACATCTAGAAAGTCTTTTATGGGAGTGGAGATCAAGAGTTGCTCATTGTCGTTGCTATGCCAGTCCCTTTTTGGTGGGGCCTTGTCAAGAAATGCATTGAGCTTATCAATAAAAATGGTAAGGCTCAGGACATCATGACTCTTCACCTCATGTGATTCATTAAGGAAATAAGAATCAAAAAAGGATCACTAATAAGCCTTCTAAATATATATATATAATACATACAAACATATATGTATATATATATATAGCTCCATCAACAGGACGGAGGGAAATATATGTTTTTCATGTTTACCAACCTTCTACAATTCCTCATTGATATTCTCACGAAACTGAGCAAAGGTACTCGGAAAGAGAATGAATGGCTTGATGTTCAAAGATACTGCTTGTAGGTTGATAAGGAAGTTAGATGTATGGGTATGAAGGAGTTCGATGGCACTCAAGTGGGCAGACAACGCGCGAATAATATTCAAGATCCTATACGTCTAGGAACTTTTTTTTTTTTTTTTTTTTTTTGAAAGTGTTGTGTAACGTATGATTTATTAAGGTAATCTAGTGTCACATGAGTCGTATGAGGTTTCAAACTTCTAAAATAGACATGGGCCCCAGCCCAACAGCCACAAAAACGGGAGAGGGGAGGCGCGTCTTAGACATGGATGAGAGACTCGCGTCTTAAACGTGAATCACAGTTGAATCAGATTTTTAATAAGATCCAAGACATCAGAGTATAGCATTCAAAAGTTTTATAATTTGTATAATTTGATGTATAATTAGCTAATTGGGGCAGGGTCATTTTGAGGCGGGTGTCGTTATAATGTCGGCTTTTTTTTTTTTTTTTTTTTTTTTTTTTTTTGGGGTGCCTCATTTTGTTTCTGACTGTGCTAAAAGGACCTTTAACTCTGGCATGGTGCAACTGTCTTGAGCTCTTGATCGAGCATTTTGAAAGTCAGTATGTTCATAGACTAGTTCTCAACATAGTTTACGCGTCATTGACTCTGGTCTCTATCTCCAAGATGACTTGCAATTAGATATTTATTTTAGTGTAGATGCTCCCTGTTCAACTTTTTAATTGATCAACCCTCTCCTACTCAAGTGGGTCCCATAGAGAAAAGAGATTTGAAATTAACAGCCACCTTGCATGGTGACCCTGCGTAGTTTTATAGTTCAGGAGCCGAAGCTTTTATTCGTAGTCCATGAGATATGGAGAAAGATGGTTGAGTTCTAGTACAGATTTATGAGCTTGAGAAGGCAGGTGCTTGAAACAATGTCTTTTATCAACAGTGGGGTAGAAAACTCAGTAGTAGGGGACGAAGCTCAGAAAGACAAGACTGAACTATTTCAGTTTGGCAGAAATAGTTCACCATTGCAGGATTAAAGAAAAAAAAAAAAAAGTTGGCATTGCTATGAGCCGATTAAGTTGTTCAGAGTGATTATAAATGCTTGAACACAAGAGAAATGGGCGTACAGATTGAACAGATTGTATACATGTACAGATTACTGCTGAGAAGTGGGATATCTATTCGCCGGATTCGGTTGTGTTTTTTTTTTTCTTTTTCTTTTTTTTTTTGCACATGGGGATGGTTGCTATCCTAAGCAGGCATGCAAACACAAAGTGTAAAAAAACGTGGAAACATGAAAAAGATGAAGAGTTCCCCGTGGAGAGTGGAGAGTTGTACAAAGAAAAATGTACTTACTGAACATTAAACAAGAGCAATATGTACGTGTACATTTCCCTGGTCTCTCAGATGGCATGGCAAGGGATCTTTTTTATTTTTCACAGTGACAGAACAGTCATTTAGAGAGAAAGGACATCTTACCCCGCTTTCACATGCCAAACCGTAAAAACAACCACAAGGACACAATGGATACACAAAGAATGACGTCCTATCCATCATATTTAAGAAATGTACATGTTAAATGTTCCTGCTTGAAAGGACAAGACCTTTTTTTTTTTCTTCTTCTCTCTCTTTGTTCCTTTTCTTTACCCTTTCGCTTCGTATCCCCTTTTCCTTACTTCTCGTTGGTCTTGTTTGTTGTTGTTTATAATCTCCCTTTTTTTTGTATCCCCTCCCTCCCTTTCCCCCTACTCTGCATCGCATCGCATCGCATCAATCGGTTCTCTCTTTATTTTGTTTATTCCATCTCTTTTTTTTTTTTTTTTTTTTTCCTCCACTCCACTCTTTTTTTTTTTTTTTTTTTTTTTTTTTTACGGTGCCATATCGACTCCAAATCCAAATATCCACACTTATCACCTTCTCTCTCTCTCTCTCTCTCTCTCTTTCCTCTCTTCCTTCCCTTTCCGTCTAAATCAATTAAAGAACTCTTATTCTTTCTTTCTCCACACTTTTCACTCCGCTCCTCCATAGCTCAACACCCCTATAACACAACTGCTCAACTCTAAAAATCTCTTCTTCTTCTTCTTCTTCTTTTGCTCCTCTGTTCCTAGTTTATTTTTTATTCTATTTTATTTATATTTATTTTTTTATTTTTTGCATTTCTTTTGCATTTCTGATCATTGCTCTTCTTTCTCTCATCTTGTTTGTTCTGGTCCGGTCCGGTCTGGTCTGGTCATCATAAGCACGATCAGTTTCCAAGCAAATTTTTTTTATTTTTATTTTTATTTTATTTTTATATTTTTTATTCTATTTTGTCTTTAAAACAGGGTCACATTGTCCTCCACACACACCGAAACAGTGAAAGTAGCACAGACACGGACAAATATCATCATTCTACAATATTTTCAATCCTCCTACGTCTGACGCACATACAACAAAAGATACAACATTCTAGAAAATAATAATATGAATACTGCAGAAAAGACGACCATCGAGCTCTTGGAGCTCTATCAAGAGCATATCCAACAAGTCACCGAACTGCAGCATCTTGTTCAGCAGCAATATCCACCACAACACCCCTCATACGATATCGCCACAAGTTACTTGAACGATCGTATCACCCTCTTCCGATTCCTCAAAAAGGCAAACTATGTCATCAAGGAAGCATACAACTTGGTCGAAGCCAATATCGCCTGGAGGATAGAGGTCGGATGTGACCACATCACCCCACGAGATCTGGAGGAGAATCCGTTATGGATAAACGGACTTGTGCAACTCAGAGGACAGGATCGGTACGGTCATCCTTTGATCACTATTCGTCTAGGAAAATACGTTTCTGCTCCCCAGCTGGATTATGACCCAGAGATGGTTACGGATGCTGGTGCAGAGAAGGATCGGTTTTTTGAGTACAAGCGTTATATTATCTTTGTTCTTGAATGCACCCGCAAGCTCTTGTGGGAGTCCAGTCGTCGTCAGCCTCCTCAGGATCATGCGTTACAGGCGACGCTGATCCTTGACCTCCAGGGTGCTTCGGTCTCAGATCTGGACCACCAGCTGATCACATTCACAATTGAGTTACTCAAACATCGTTATCCCAGTTGCATTGCCCAAGGTATGTTGATGACAAATGAATGACCAGTTTTTTTTTCTTTCTTTTTTTTTTTTTTTTTTTTTTTTTTTTTTTAAAAAAAAATAAAAAAAAAAAAAAAAAAAAAAAAGTTGAGCTGTGGAATGTATTTGCATGGATTAATTATACTCCAGTCGGGAGCATGCCCTTGAATACATGCATAAAGGAATAATTAACGACCAAGCTAGATCATGTCTATCCTGATCAGCCGATTGTTCTTTATCGATCTTTAAAGGCACTGTAGTGAATTTAGCATTAATCCTTTTTTTTTTTTTTATTTTTTTTTTTTATCCTACTGCTTGTTTATCTATTTTTAAAAAAAAAAGTATATGTGCTCAACTACAGCTGGGTGTTTGGCGGAATCTGGCAAATGCTTAAGCGTGCTCTCCCGGAAACTGCCCGCGCACGGGTCTCTTTCCCATCTTCCGTTAATGAGCTCCAGGAACATTTCGATCGTGAAGAGCTCTCTACTGGTAAGAAAGAAATAAAAGACTTTGCCTCTCCCCTTTTTTTTATCATATGCTGGCTATTGATTCGGGTTATTCCTAAGGTCGTAAGGGATGGACGTTGATGCGAGCTTATCCGACTTTTTATTAACTAATCCCATCAACCCTATTTCCATGTGTTAACGAAATAGACTTTGGTGGATTAGACTCTTATCAATATGACTCTGAGACATGTGAGGCATTCCACTACTTTGGTTATCCGATGCTCAGTCTCCAGCCAGGAACACCGACTTCATCCCTCAGCCGTGTCAACTCTTGCGACTCTATCTACTTTGACGCCATCTCGACACCACATCACAGTCCCAAATTGCGACCCCATGATGGCCTCAGCTTTTTGTCGATGACGCCGATGATGCCAATGGCGCCTCCTTCCTCTGGTCATAGCAGCCACAACAACAATAATAACAACAATACGAATCTGTCTGTTCGACCTGGTCTGGGATCACGTTCGAATTCGATCCCCCTTATGGATTTGAATAGTCTTAGTCCTACAACTCATAACCATCAACGTCACCATGGTTCTGGTCACCACTTTAATCCTAGTCTCAAATCTACGCCACTGAGGGCAACGTTGCTTAGGCATTCGAAATCATCAGCCAATATCCCCTCCTTCATGATCACACCCTCGATCGAGTCAGATTTGCCTACACAGTATCCGATTTCGCGCAAGGAGAGGAACACTATCAGCCGTAATTCTGGAAGTGATCCAAAGAACCCCCGTGGAAATCGGTTCTATCGGCTGATCCTCCGACCCAACTCGGTCTTCATGCGGATTGCGGCTACTCAACAGGGGGTACGACAGAAGATGGTGAAGGTGGTGAAGACCTGTGCGGATAAAATGATGCGAACGGATATGAGGACGCTGATGTATTGGATCATGGCTCTTATTATGCTTCGAGGCGAAGTGTGGCAACTCATTGCTGCGACTGCAGTCAAGGTTTTGACAGTTGTTGGAGAGGGTGATGAGTTGTTGCTTTAAAAAAAAAAGCTTTTCCTTTATTATTTTTATTATTATTATAACTGATCCTTTTTAGTGTTTTTGAGATGTCCCTCTCTTGCGCTGCCCCAACAGTCATTTGTACAATATATTTTTTATTCTCTTTTCTCCCCTTTTCCTTTTCCTTCTCTTTCCTCTTTCTCTATCCTTTCTCCTTCTTTTTCTCTTTGTACTTTTACAAAAAAAAAAAAGCTTTTTTTTCAAATTGCATCAGGTGTCGACATCGACATGTAGAAATCATTAAAAAGAAATCAATAAAAAAGAGATTAAATAAAATTAATAGCGATTGCATTTTTCATTTTTTTTTTTTTTTTTTTTTTTTTTTCTTTGTGGCATCATGAGTTTGAACATTGAATCATGTCATCAAACAACGTATACATCTACATATTGATATTATACATGCATTATACATGTTCATGTACATGATTGTTACTGCATAAATAGTAATAAAAAAAGTCTAATCCTACTTGGGCGAAGTAAACTGTTGTATAAACGACTATGGAGTTCAAACGTATGATCCCTTTCCTTCCCTTCCCTTCCCGCCTCCTTCTCGTCCTCCTTCTCGTCCTCCTTCTCATCCTCCTTTTTTTTTTTTTTTTTTATTTTCTGTTGATTCCAAAACCACCTCAAGGGTTTTTTTGTTTGCAATGTGTATATAAAATTACCAAGTCAAACAGGTAAAGGTAGCTCCGCTTCCAATGCATCCAGTGTTTTACTTTTATGTAACAGTAACAGTATGTACAGATAAAAACGCCCTGGGAGGTTTTCCAATTGGGTTATAGCTTGTGTACATGGCAAATGCGCAAAATAAACTTTTTTTTTGCCCTTCCTAATCTGCTGATCATTATAATCCTAGAAAAGAACGCCGTCTTTGTTTGATTCGAGACAAGCACCGCTGTGGCAGAGGCATAGTCAGTCCATATCCAAGGCTGGACCTTTTTTTTTTTTTTTTTTTTTTTTTTTTTAAGCAAAAAAAGGCAAGAAGTTAAAAAAAAAAAAAAAAAAAAAAAAAAAAGGCTAGAAGAAGCAAAAGGTAAAAGAAGAAAAAGAAAAAGAGAAAGAAGAAAGAAGAAAGAAGAATGAGCCCAGTTTCCACATTTTCATTTATCGTCCCTTTTTTTTATTTTTTATTTTTCATTTTCACACACACACCGCAGTATCATGTTTGTTTGGTCGATGTGGTGGATGAAGTGTGTGTAATGACATTTAACCCCATTTGACATTTGACATTTGGATCCTACTCTCTTTTCGACTCTTTTTTTTTTTTTTTTTTTTTTTTTTTTCACTACGTCCCCCTTTTTTTGATTTCTTTGCTTTGTTTTTTTGTTTCTTTGTTTCTTTGTTTCTTTACTCTTTTCCATTTCTATTTCTCCCTTCAGTCTATTCGGCATACAAGGTTTTATTCTCACTCTCGTTTCTTTTTTTTTTTTTTTTTTTTTTTTTTTTTTCTCCTTCAGTTAACAAAGGAGCTAATATATGTATATATATACACAGGATATACAAGATATACAAATTATACAAGATATACAAGACATACAAGTCATATAAGAAGCAACCGTATTCTGCAGCACAAAAAAAAAAAAAAAAAAAAAAAAACGCGACAACAACAACAATAACAACAACAACAAAAAAAGCCAATCATGTCCAACGCTGTGACATTACGTCTGACAAAGGAATTGTCTGAATTCACAAAGAATCCTGATCATCAACTGTTTCTTCATTATGGTAATCAATTTAACTTTAAACGTTCTAAACCAGCCATCAATGGTTTTTCTTTCATTGTTACATTGCATTGCCATCTTTTTTTTTTTTTTTTTTGTGTTTAATAACCAAAATAATACTTTTTTTTTCCTTACCTATGGATGGGCTTTGCCGAAACAATAATAATAAAAAAAAAAAAAAAAAACTGTAGATGAATCAAATATCATGACTATTAAAGCCATGATCACTGGTCCTCCTGACACACCGTAAGACAAAATCAATCAATCGATTTATCAACAAGTCCAAAGAAAAAAAAAAAAAAAATTCATTTCAAGAAGCAAGCAAGTAGAGTCATATGAAAGATCCGGAAAAAAAAAAAAAAAAAAAAAAAGAAAAAAAAGTGAGCAGGAACAACAGAGGAAAAAAAAGGAGGGAAAAAGGAGGTGGAGATGAAAGAGGAAAAGCAAAGGGGAATAAAATCCCTACTCTGTGAGCCACTCTCTTGGGTATTCACAGTTAGACTATGGTAGACATATGCATGGACAAGGCGAAAAAGAAACAGGAAAAGAAGCCATGTGAATTCGGTTTCTTCACACATCCTAAACATTCACATCTGACTGACTGGACTCGTCTCCTTTCTACATCTCCTTTCTGTATCTCCTTTCTTTCTTTTTTTTCTTTTTTTTATATCTCAATTGATTGAACGATCTGATCTAATTCTGATTTGTTAGATACTGCCTTGGTCAATTCGAGTTTAGCTTGGTGTTCCCAAAGGATTACCCTACTGCTCCTCCTAAAGGTATTAAATGATCGGAACAAGAAAAAGTAACAGCATGTTAAAGTTATTCCTAACTATGATTGTTGTTTTTTTAAAAAAAAAAAAAAAAAAACTTGGATACATTGGGAATCATTCAGTAACTGCTTTGACTACCAACCATGGACGAACGCGTTTCAATCCCAATGTAAGGAGTATTTTTTCTTTTTTTTTTTTTTTCTCCTTCTCTTTTGGTTAGCGTTGCCACTAATGACCGAAATCCGCTTGCTTTTGCTTTCCTTCATCATTATGATAAAATTGATTTGTAGATATACGCTGGTGGAAGGGTCTGTCTTAGTATCCTTGGCACATGGAGAGGCAATGCAGGTGAACAATGTATGGACACGTGAGACAGTGACAATCCATCTTTAATTTGCACAAATCAAAGAAAGAAACAAAAAGCCAAATTCGTCAGCTCTAATGGTTCCTAGAGATGTTTTCTTAACGATTAGGGTCTTCTGCACATGGAATCACTAGTATTTTGTTGAGCATCCAATCACTCATGAGCGATATGCCCGTAAGTCTGTTGACAAGACCGTTTGTTTGCACATGAAGACAAATGAATCTATTCATGTCAGTCGGGCGATATCATTTATTTATTTATTATTATTATTATTATTTTATTTTATTTTACTTTTTTTTCTTTTTTTCGTTTTTTCTTTTTTTTTTGTTTTTTTTGATTTGACATGATAGTATCGCAATGAGCCTGGACATGACCTTGAGAAGGATATGTCTAAACTAGAACCTTATAACCAAAAGATCCGTCATGGTTCGTCTACTTGTCTATATCCAATGTATTTTATTTATTTTTTAGCTTGAAAAAGATTTCCTGACTGAATAATCAGAAAACTAACGTTTTTTTTTTTTTCTCCAATGGATTGTAACAGAGACAATTCGCATTTCTATTTGCGACCGCTTGGAAGGATTCCTCGGTATCAACCAACCAACTTTATTCAACACATTTACAACAGATCCAGCCGCAACCTCCTCTTCCTCCTCCTCTTCCAGCCCATCTTCGCCTCAAAGCTCATCAGCCAATAACACCCTTGTTACACCTGTGGGCACACCAAACTCTTCAGGGACACCTACAGCCTCGACCTCTGCCATTTTTGAGCCTCTATATGCAAATAGCGTGACATCGTATGACGAGTTTAGTGATCTATCCAAGCGTTTATTCTTGGCGTACTATGATATTTATCAACATACTGTACAAAAGGAATCCGCAGTAGTTTCTGATGGGACGCCCTTCTATAGAGCACCCTTTGAATTCGGTGGAAACAAGATGGATGGCAAATTTGGATATGCATCCCTAGCAAAACGTTTAGAGGTGATCAAGACAGCAATCGAGAGGGAGACATTAGAATGGATTTCACAGTCGAGTCAATGGATCAAGGACTCCACCCGGATGTCAAGTAACTTGCGGCGTCAATATGAGCAAATCTGTGAATACTATCGTGAAAACAATACAGGAGGTGTGGAGGTTGAGCTTGTTGAAGATAATCCGTTTGTCTGGACATTTACACTTTTCGGTAAACCAATGAGGTAAAGCCATTATCAGTTTTGTTTGCTCAGTATTTCTTTTATCATTATTATCACCATTATCATTGTTTTTCCCGAAAACTGATTTCTTCTTTTTTCTTTAAACATATATAAATATACATGTATGGTACTGATTTAGTAACTATGATGGAGGCATGTTCAAGGTTCAGATGGTATTCCACGACTCGTTCCCAGATATCCAGCCGCGTGTCAAGTTCCTGACACCGATGTACCACGTTCATGTGACGGTGGATGGTGTTCCGTTCTATGCTGTTGGAAAGCCAGATGATGTTAGAACTCATATAATAGCGATCACTCGCCTGATCCTTGAAGATGAGCCCTCCACCAACCCTTCGACTCATGTGAATTTGGAGGTATTGTGATTATGAAGAAAAAAAGAAAAAAAAAAGAACGGATCAAATTATTATTATTATTATTATTATCATTTTCCCATGTCTCATCGTCATTCATCATGGGTTTTCATAGGCGGCCAAGCTTCACTTTGGTACCAAGGAGCAGCGTCGTGAATACAATAGGAATGCACGACGATGCGCTAGTCGCTCAACTGAGTATTTCGAGTAAAAAAAAAAAAAAAAAAAAAAAAAAAAACTGATGGAGGAAAAAAAAAAAAAAAAAAAAAAAAGTTAGAGCCAAAGGAGGACGCTGTACACAATACTTCAATATTATAATGAGTCGAATCAAATCAATGAATCAATCAATCAAACAAGTAGCCGACCAACTAGGCAGCTATGGGACGTCGCCTCGTGTTTAATGATATCGATAAGAGAGACTTTAGGATTAAACAATCTAGGAAACTCATTCAGCCGTGATCTTTGGCTTAGTCCTAGTCCTGGTTCTAGTCTTTTCTTTTTCTTTTTTCTTTTTTTTTTTTTTTTTTTTTTTTTTTCTTCATCCTCTGCTCCCTAATGGCACCTCTCCCCTTTGCATAAAAAAAAAAGCAAAAGAAAAAGAAAAAGAAAAAGAAAATGAAAAAGAAAAAGAAAAAGAAAAAGAAATGGGTCCGATATATGTGAGAGTATTGTATTGAATAGCTCGTTTGTTGTTAATACAAAAAGCCAGGGAGTATTGTTAAATAAATAATTGCAAAAAAGAATGAAAATGGAGCAATGTCATAAGTGAATTCTGTTATTTTCTATCTTTTTACTTTTTTAATTTAATAATTGTAATTAAATTTAATATTTTTGTACAGTGCAATGAGTCTATATCTTATGCATCAAAGAGATCACCTTCGACCTTGATCCCATACTCCTGTTCCAGACGTTGCTTCAGAGCGTCGTCAAGCACAGCCTCGAATCCATCAGACTTGCGTCCCAAGATTTTACGTTCAAACAGACTCTTGAGTTGAGCAAAGTGATACGTCAGAGACATCAAAGCCAGGGCAGCCTCAAAGAACCAATAATCCAATTGTGCCTGGAGTGTGGTTGAGAGTAGTTTCCAGAAACTTGATGGTTGTCGTAAAGAAAGGCTGTTGTTGTTATTGTTATCATCATCATGATGACCGCTTCTGCTTTTTATCAATTGATCCGATGATGATAATGACGATCTCTTGATCCAGAATTTAGAATCGTGACTGAGACCTCGAACGGCCCAACGGGCCATTCGGTTGATCCTGTTGACGGGACTTCCCAAGGTCTTGTTGTTGGCACGGACGATGGTCATGTTTCGACCGATGAAGATCAATTCCTTGGGCAGGAGTTCAGAGTTGACCAAGAAATCTTTGAGGCTGGTCTTTAGTTTCATCTGGATCTCATAGGCATCCAGGACAGAGGTATTGGTCGAGGGTTTGATATTGGGGGATCGATCCATGTTGTAGGGTTTAAGGAGGGTGGCATTGGCCATCATCTGAGAATCGCCCACGCCCCAGAGTTGACAGATGTCGGCAATGGTTTGTTTGTCGAGTAAGAAAAGGGATTTCCAGAAGAGACAGTACTGTTGACGGAATTCCTCTGATTCACGCATATACAGACCGTGATCCAGCAGAAGCTAGCAATGGAAAATGGGAAAGAGAAACGTTGTACATAATACGTGTTAAAAAAAAAAAGAATAAAATGAAATGAAAGAATGGGGAGAAGGAGAGAGAAAGAGAGAGAGAAAGAGGGAGAGAAAGAGAGAGAGAAAACGAGACAACGAGAGAAAGTGTGAGAGAGTGTGAGAGAGAGAAAAGGGATCCATTTGCTTACCAGTTGATGGCGTTTTGGATTATCAGGATGTCTTCGGACGAGGATATTTCCAGGATGTGGATCACAATGGACAAATCCAGAGATAAAGATCTGATGAGCAAACACATCGACGACGCTCTCCATGACTTTGGTGATGCTCAAGCCCATTTGCTCGATAGCCTGTTTATCTGTTGCTCGACAGCCATCGACCCATTCTGCGACCATGACCTGTTTAGTACTGTATGCCTTCAAGACTTTGGGAACATAGACCTGTTGCCGTAATTTGGAATCAGTTTGTAAGAAATCGTTGCACATTTCCGCGTTCCGGGCCTCGTTGATAAAGTCGGTTTCTTCTCGTAGGTGTTTACAAGTATAGTCGACAGCGAAGGACATGGGCAGATCAAAGAGATATTCATAGACCTTGATCAACCAACGATAGGCCTTCAGGTCCCATTCGATCTGGATCTTGATCTCGGGCTTTTGAACCTTTACAGCCACGACGGTGCCATCGTGTAGGACAGCCTTGTGGACTTGGGCGATTGAGGCAGCTGCGACGGGTTCGGGAGAGAAGGAGGAGAAGATTTCATGGATAGGACGACCCAGTTCTTGATGAATGATCTTTTCTACGGTTGAATAATCGACCGATGAAGCGTCATCGTAGAGTGCGCGAAGGGTTCTACAAAAAAAAGAAAAAAGAAAAAAGGCGATACATTACATATTGATACATTCGCGATCGTGCGATATCAGCAAGTAAAATTTCAAAAAAAAAAAAAAAAAAAAAAAAAAAAATAACAGTCCACTTACGTCAAATAACAAGGAGGAAGGACAGAAGAATTGGTGGCGATTCCTTGTCCTAAAGGTAAAAGTAAAAGTAAAAGTAAAAGAAAAAAGAAAAAAGAAAAATTAGAAAGAAAGAAAGAAAGAAAGAAAGAAAGAAAATAAAATGATTAAACAAAGAAAGAAGATTGCTAATACCTAGTTTGATATAAAGGCCTCCATTAGTTTGACAGACATGCAATATCCGATTGGCAACTCGTTGATGTAGATCATTGATCTGATCAGCTTTTCCAGGCGTGAAATTGAACTTGTAGTCCCAGCCTACCAAGACACTACATCAACCCAAAGATAGGAAGAAGAAAAAGAAAAAGAAAAAAAGGTTTCCCATTACAGAAAATATTATGTCAGATAAGATCAGATCGGATTAATAAAAAATAAAAAATAAAAAAAAAAAACATGGATTGTAATGGTTTAATCATGAAATATTCATTATGGTTTATGATTAAAAAAGAATAAAGTACCCGTTCCATGCTGTGCGTGCTGTGCGTTGGAATGCTTTTGCGTTCATATGGGTGTCGATCAGATAGAGTCCTGTGGCTGTGGCAGACAACATGGTAACCCGCCTCAGGGCTCTATGAGTGAATGCGCGTTGTAATATTGGTATTGACATGGTAGTATGTGTATATGTGAGAGAAAGAGGACAAGAAAGAAAAAAAAAAGGTTTACAAGGTGCTAATAGTATATATTAGGTCTAAATATTATTTATTCTTATCATGGTTTTTAAAGGCACGATCTCTTTGAAGGAGAAGAGATGTTTAAAGAAAAAAAGAATGAGACTGAAAAGAGTGAAATGAATGAAAACAGCGTGAGAAACAAAGGAGAATGAGAATGGGAGGAAAAAAAAATAAAAAAGAGAGAGAGAGAGAGAGAGAGAGAGAGGGAAGGAAAAAGAACGAAAAAAAAAAAAAAGACAGACTTGCTTTTATTCCCTTCTTTGTCCTTGTCCTTGTCCTTATCCTTCAACATATCTTGTGTTGCATGTCTGAAATATTTAAATAACTTGAATGCGTCAAGAGAGGCGATCGATGGGGTAATGGTTAATGCAATAGAAGAAACGCGGGCCTTGTGGATGGTCCGTCCTAAAAAGGAAAGTATGCCATTAACAGCGCAGCAGTCACTCTCATCCTCAATTAGCTTTTTTCTTCTTTCTGGATAAACATTTTTCTCTCTCTTTTTTTGACTCTGCAAAGTTCAAACACGTTTTTCTTGGCAAGAAAGGAGCAGCAAAAAAGAAAAAAAAAGAAGAAGAGAAGAATAGGATTTTTTTTTTTTCCCTCAAATGGCAGAGGAGATTCAGCAAAAGATTGCTCGTTACGAGACATTTGTGAATGAAGGCTTACGAAAGGATCTCAAGGATGCATTGGATGCAAGAGATGCTATTTATAACCAGATCTCTGAATAGTAATGACACCTTTTCTTTTTTTTATCCTTCCCGTCTTCTCTAACGGGTTACTCTTGTTTTTCCATATACTTTTTTGCTTTTAGGTGGAACTGTTCATGGAGGAAAAGAAAAGAAAAGAAAAGAAAAATACTGAGTATGCCTACTTTTTTTATTTTTATTTTTTTTTCTTTCTTCTATAACATGTGGATAGTCTTAAATTAGCAAAGGATATCGAGGTGATCAAGGACAATGGACTCACAGAGATGAAGACTCAGGTTGATCTCGGATCAAACTTCTATGTACAAGCAAAGATGTAAGGATTTATAGATGTGCTTCTTTTTTCTTTTTTCTTTTTCTTTTTTATGAGCAAGCTCTCTGATAAATGTGTTTATATAATTTTTTTTTTTCCAATAGTCCAGACACAAAGTACATCTATGTCAATGTCGGATTTGGATTTCATGCGCAGCTGACATTGGACGAGGCGTTGACATTTATCACCAAGAAAGAGGCACATTTGCAGGGGTAATGACAAGGAGGAAAAAAAAGAAAAAGACAAGAATTTTTGTCTTGGTTGATTGATCTACAACATATGGAAGAAAGAAGAAAAGAAAGAAAGAAAGAAAAAGCATTTTGACAAAGGACCTTTTTTTCTTTCCTCTTGCGCGTGATATAGAAAAGCTGAAAAGTATACTGAGAAGGCAGCCCAGATCCGTGCTCATATCAAAATCGTAAGACTTGTCTTGGGGTCCAGAAAAGACGTGTTTGACATTATGAAATATATGGCTTATCTTTCTTTCTTCCTTCCTTCCTACCTCCCTTCCTTTCTTTCCTTTTTTTATTTTTTATTTTTTTTTTATTTTATTTATTATTATTATTTTTAGGTCCTGGAAGCCATGGCTGAGATTATGAAACTGAATAACACGCCGTCACCAAGGAATCTGGATATTTAAAGAACTTATGCTCTACCAGTCATTTTTTTTTTTTTTTTTTTGGAGAGAGAACAACATTCACACACTTATATTATAGAACATCAAACATCTTTATGCATACGCAAATAAATGTTATTAAAAAAAAAAAAAAAAAAAAAAAAGTGCAAAAGAATACTGAGCATGTTGTATGCTGTGTATGTGTACGTACCAGAGGAATTTCCTAAAAAAAAAAAAAAAAAAAAAAAAAAAAAAGGCTTTATGAAATATGTATAGTATATGTATGTGTATTTATAATATATACAAAAGCATACATGAACATTTAATATGTTATAGTTCTCCGCGGATATTTTTATTTCTTTTTTCTCCGTTAGGGTGGCGAAGTATGGGATCTCGTCAAGGTCGCTTACGAAACCTAGTCAGGATGTATATATAAAAAAGAAATCTTGCCTTGCCTTACCTTACCTTGCCTTGGCTTATCTTGAATTTTTTTATCTGTCCGGATGTGTGAGCAAATATATCTCAGGACAGATTGTTTGTTGGTTCAGACACAACTTGGATGTATCCATCTACAAAGAGTATATATATATATATATAAATGTATATGTATATGTATACCTGGATTGTAAGGAATGTTGATGATGGCCTGTAGTGTAACAACAAACAGAAGCTCATCAGTTGTAAATATATACATGTTTGACCTTTTTGTTCCATGTGTCGATAATCTTTGGAGTGTGCTTTATTATTATATATATATGTATTATTATTTTTTATAGATGTTTTAAAAGACAAAGGCTCTCAATATCCCCGTGCGCCTTTTCTTCATGTTGTGTGATGTGATGTGATGTGATGTTGTGTTGTATCATGTCATCATTCATCCATTTCAGAATCATTTATGCAGAGCAAGGCGAGTATAAAGAAAAAAAAAAAAAAAAAAAAAAAAAAAAGGATGATGATCAAGTAAGGGTCTAACATGTTTATTCAAGTATCGAACATGAATATCCCTTGATGATGCTTTTTACTTTGTGTTCAAAAAAAAGTTTTTTTTTTTTTTTTTTTTTTTAGACATTGAACGTTGGATGGAACACAAAGAGTGTGAACACAAAAAACTAAATGCTAAATAAAAAAAAAATAAAGGTCTCCATAGCGGTGTTTCTGACGCACATTCTCATCATCTTTTTACATATACATTCGTATGGATCCTCCATAGCATATAGCATCATTGTTGCCTATTTGTTGTATGTAGTAGTTGGTATTTTGTTACGGCTCTATTCCCTCTATCACTCTATGCTAATGACCCAACATTATAATATATATTTGCATAACGTGTGTGTAGAATGCAATGTGTGGATGTTTTACTTTCAAAGACCCCCTTGAAATTGCTTCAAATTGCTTGAGATTTGCTTGAGATTTACTGGAGATGCTTGAAATGGGGTTGACGCCGAGTTTGTGTTTGGGTTTGAATGAGATAGAGTTTGTCTCCTGTAATCAAATCATTTGTGTCTCAGAAGTGTCTTAAATTCTTTTTTTTTAAACTCACTTCACACTTACATTTCACACTTGCCCACTTTTACACTTCTCCGTTTCTGTTTCTTCGCTTTTACTTTCTTTTTTCCTTTTTCTTTACTCCTTTTGTCTTTCTTTGTCCTTCTCATCTTTTCATTCGTATCTTAATTTGTATCATTAGTCTTATTTTTGACCCCTCATTATTATTACATTCTAATTCTCTGTCTATACGAGGAAAAAGGAAAAAGAAAAAAAGAAAAGAGTAATGGAACGAATCTACATGGCACAGGAATACGACCCTCGCATACACCATGTTCGCCAACCTGGCAATCACAGCAATAATCCCTACAACCATTTCCAAGACGGTCATGTCCCTGCATATACCGATAATTCAGACTGGAATCGCCACAGAGACCCAACGGTACATTCTATCCTCCTCTCTTCTTCTTTCTTTTCTTTTCTTTTCTTTTCTTTTCTTTTCTTTTCTTCTTTTATAGCAGCAACAATCACTAAGGAAAAAAAAAAAAAAAAAAAAATCGTTGAATCAATTCAACGAATGAGTTTGTGGAAAACCAATGAACTGACCTTTTCTTTTCTTTCATCCTCTTTATTTTTTCTTTTCTTATTTGGCTTTTCCTTTGGACAGAGGCCGTCAACTGAGTCTGCAAGTTCGATCCAGAGCTGGACTTCCGATACTCAATCCCCAATACCGAAAACTAATCGCCCTCCTCCACCCTATTCACTTCAACAGCAACCACAGCAACAACAGCAACAGTATCGTACAGAATCTTCATCCTCAACTTCCTCCCCAGTACGATATCGTAATGATCATAGCCTGAACGGTCATCGTCAACAATTCGCACAGGGACATATCACTGACCACCACACTGACGTCAATTCCAACCATAACAGCCTTATGAGCCAAGTCAGCGCCTCCAGTCAGCCTCGGACTTCTCAAAGAGCTCAACGGAGGCGTGACCCTTCTGCTGCTCCTGCTGCTGCAGGAGAAGAACCCAAATTACGCTCTTTAGATGATTATGAGGCTATGCTGCAGGAGATGGCCTCTCCCACTCTAGGTCCAAGAGGAGCCAGGGAATCCTCACGCTCAACAACTTCAACCCGTGCAACACCAGCATCAGCATCTACATCAACATCAACATCTACACCAGTCACTGCAGAGCCTTCATTAGATGATTTTGAGGCAATGCTGCAGGAAATGGCCTCGCCCACTTTAGGACCTAGGGGTCAAAGTAACAATCCCTTTCGATCTGCTGCTGCTGCACGAAGGCAACAAGAACGTGAAGCACGCACTGATAGGACCTCTAGACAAAGTCAAAGACAACAACAGAAGCAACAGCAACAGCAACAGCAACAGCAACAGCAACAGCAAGCATCTCAACAACAACCACGACAGCCAGAGCAGCAGCAAGAGCAGCTAGAGGATCCTTTACCACAACCACGAGCAAGAATGCCTCGCAACAATAATACACCCGGAGAGTCATTTGAAGATCGAAGGTTGAAACGCAGAAGCAGCCTCCCTGGTAGACTCAAGACTGAACCCAACCTATTCTTGAACCTGCAACGACGTGGTAGTGGCAGTAGTTTACACCCATTGACTTCTCCACGACACAATAATGCCCCTGGCTCATTCGATGGTCCATCCTTGATTACTGAGGATATGCCCCCCCTCCTTCCTTATCGTGAAATTCCTCAACCTCCTCCTCCATTTGAAGCCCAGAACGCTCATCATCTTCCGCCAAGTCAAGAGAAGCGATTCTCATGGGAGAATGAGAGTGTGGCGCCTAGAGAAGATTTGTTGCGGAGCGGTCATCGTCGCCCGCAGCGTCCTGGATCCGATGAAAGGTCTGCAAGTGTGCAGCAACAACAACAACAGCAGCGAAAAGGATCATGGCAGGATATGACCTTCCCAGGAGAAGATGGGCAGAACCCGAATCGCCAGCGTCCCCAAAGACTATCGCAGCAAGGCACCAACAGGGCAACTGCATCCACCAGATCTCACCTTAGTGTTGAACACCAACGACAAGCCGATCATGGAGTGACTCAAAGCCATTCCCCTGTACCATCTTCTAGAAGAGGCAGTAACAACAACATCAAAGTCGAAGTCAATACCTCTCTGCCCCATCCTCTTTCTCACCATCATCCCAATCGACCTACAACACCCAATAGTAACCCAAGGTCAAGACCCAGTACACCTTTGGGAGGTATTAAACCACCTCCAGGTCCAGCACCAGCATCTGCCTCAGTCGCCGGTGCTGCTGCAATCAACTCCCGAAGGGTTTCCCCAAGGAGTGCAACAGGTAAACGATCCAACAGCAACGACTTGCTTCTACCGTTCTCACAGGGAGGAACTCGACCACGAGCGGGATCTTCAGCATCAATTAATAATATAGTATTGGATCGAACTCTAACGCCTCCTCCTCCTTCATCACCTTTACCATCCTTGCCTCCCTCAGCTGCAAGCAATGAGAGTAGTCCTGGTGTTCATGGACTCGGAATCGATTCACAGACCCAGACACGAACTCGTGGACGTAAAGGTTCTGTTGGGACGAAAGATCAGGGCTCTACTCGCCAAAGGGATGGCCAAAAGTCATCGGAACTTCCTACCCCTACCCCATCTTCCTCCATAAGTCCAGAACTCGGTGCTCAAACGACGACGACGACCACCACCACATCAGCGCGCTTGAGACGGGAGAACCGACTGGAGAAAAACGGGTCGGGGCTCCAGAACCAGTTCGATCCATTGGCTATTGAGCATGATATCGAGAAAAAACTCCAACAAATGTTCTCGCCACCCTTGTCATCATCACCATCAGGACCATCTTCCTCTTCAGCTTTTGCAGAGGGCGTCCGTACATTCAACATTCCAATGTCACCAGCGTCGTTGAAACACCTTTCTGAAGCAGATCGAGCCTCGATCCAATCATTCCATGATCAAGAGTTAAACCGGGCAGTGAAGCAAGTTCAAGAGGAGAAGGAGTCGATTATTGGGGCAATGAAGGAACGTGAAGAACGATCCCGAAGCGAGATGTCGGCCCAAATAGAGACCCTTCGAGCAGAGCTGGCGACCAAAGAATCTGAATTGGTTCAGTTACGGTCGCAATTGGAGTTGACCAAGAATGAACAGATGCAAGGTTATAGCACACTGGATCAACAGGTCCAGAAGCTCCTTGTGGAGAAACAAGAATACCAAGAGCAACGAACAAAGATGGAACGAGAGATGGAGACGTTCCAGGAAAGGTTACAGCAGGAGGCAGTCCAATACCGTACCTTGCAGGATAGTGTTCAGCGTTTGGGCTCCAAGATGGCCAGGCTGGAATCTCAGCATGCGGTCGAGTTACAAAAGATCCACATGGACCATGATCGCGTCTTGGAGAAGATGATGGCGGTTCAGGACCATGAGGATGTCATCACTCAATTGACAGCACAGCATCAGAAGGAGATGGAAGAACGGATAGAGCAACTTCGACAGTCGATCCGACAAGAAATGGAAGCATCGGTCGAGCAAGGCCAACAGGAAGCGAAGGC